AGGAGAAGATGGCAGGTTTCCCCAAAGAGCTGTTCCCATGGGAGTAACGTCTAAAAATTCTGGATATGGTCATTGTTTTTAATGTCATGGAATGTGTACACGACTGGGCGTTCTTAGCATAAAATCCATTTCTACAGAAAAGAGGAAGTGAATGAAAATAACATAAAGAACCAATGAAATATAAATTATCAGACGAACAAAAGGAAGTCTAGTTGAGTAGGGAAAGGAAAATGGGAGAGGAGAGGGGTAACACAGGGAAAGGGGGATCATGAACTAAAGTTGATTTCCATGCATTGATGAGTTTTTCTGGATGAACCCAATCACTATGATAACTATAAAGCTCTGAGAAAAAATTAAAAACCGGTTTCTTCATTCTGGGACCTTGAAATATACATTTTGCTTCTCTAATCACTTGCTTGTTAAAAATTACTGGGATTTCCCTTTTCACTTCATCATATCCTAGCTTTAATAAAATCTTTGTAATACTTCAAGCCAGGTACGGTGATGCATGCCTGTAATTCCAGCAGCGGGGGTGGCAGTGAAAGGAGGATTACAAATTCAAAGCCAGCCTCAGCAATGACAAGACTCTAAAGCAATTCAGTGAGATTCTGTATCTAAGTAAAATACAAAATAGGGCTGGGGATGTGGCTCAGTGGTTGAGTGCCCCTGAATTCAATTCCCCGGGACCCAAAGAAAAAATCTTTGCAATATTTTAAATACATAGAAACCTACGAACATAATAAGAATATCACCCACAATTGTGTCTAATATTTAAATCAAGAAATATAATTTGCAAGCCATTAATGTTCCTTTTCTATTACATGTATCTGTAGAATTTATGATGATGATGATCTGCAGGAGTATGATTTCCAACCCAGTGTTATTTTCATTCCCAGTACTGTGTAAAGCATAACTAACAAGTGATATGGATGGAACTTTTAAACCTCACATGAATGGTGGATGGTATGATATGTTCATAGACTTTCATTTCTACCCAGCATTTAACATATGGTTTTGACATGTTCAAAGTAGTTCAGAGTTGAATTGAGACTTGGAACACAGTTGAGTTACCTGTTTTCTTGTAGATGACTCTGGGTTTCCCCCTCACCAATTTTCCCATATTTAAATCACTATTTGGCAAGAATGACAAAAACACAGGTAGGAGTTTTCCGAGGTCGTACTTGACTGAAGTTGACTGTTCTCTCATTGGCCTGTTGTAGGTGTTACTAAATGTTCCCCCAATAATCTTGTAATGAAGTTAAAATCTAAATAAACTCCTCTACCTCTACCTCTGCCTACTTTTAGTTGACTTTAAAATTTACGAATTTTGGAGAACAAGTAGTTGCGCTATATAGTATTAGTGTCTTTCTCTACCTTGCTGTAGAAAACACCTCTTACATGAGGATATGATGATAAAAGTCACTTAGGATTCTTTAAAGGGTTTTGAAGACCATTTTGGTAAAAGCCCTGACTGACTGTTCCCTCGATCCTGCAGATGTCCAATGGGTAACTAAAAAACAGAACTCAGAAATTTGCCTTCTTGTTGTTTCTCTCTTTTTTGCCTCCCTAAAACTTTGGATCATAGTATCTGTAGATTTCTTTTGATACTATGGCCATTTCATGACATTATGACAAATTCTGCTTGCCCGTGAACATTGGATTCTTTTCTTTTTGGAACTGTAAAGACCAAGGGGAATCAAGTTCAGCAGCATCCATCATACCATTCTCAGAGACTACCCCAGGGAAGACTCCATCTTGGCACAGAACCCTGCTTTTAACCCAATTCCTACCATCCTTGCAGTTGGGTACATACCAACTGTGGTTCTGAAAAATACTTTTTTGCAGATGGTCAAGTGCTCTTGTACACAAGGACTGTTAAGTTGAACAACAAAGGAATCATGGGTTCTCTCTGGTGTCCACCCAGCACACACAGAGGGTAGGGTGTCCTGGATCCCACTCACAGTGTCTTGGACCTGCCCTCAGGGTACAGCATATGCAAATCTCTAGAACCAATGTTCACATATTTATCACAACTTCATAGATATTCAGGGATATAACTGCCCATTTTCCTTGGGAGATGTTGTGACTAGAATTAAAAACATTAAGAGTAGTCACCAAAAACCAGAAAATAAAGAAATCAAATCAAAGATGGACTAGCTTAATAAATAACAAGAGTTCCACTACCTGCCACACGTACAGACTTCTGTTCCCTCTGATGTGTGTATCCTGGATTTGACGTTATGGTGTCAAATTAACTCGAAGAAGAAAAATGTAGGGTATCCATTGGGCTCTTGACTGGATTTCTTTAGAACAAATATTTTCGGCTCAGAAATCAAAAGAACTCTGCAAAGTTGCTCAGTTAGCTAATGAAAGGAACTGAGTACGTTCTATCTTTCCCTTTATTCTGACTCACGGAGACTGATTTGATCCTAAACAGACTCTAAGCCAATGTTTTCAAATGGATGAAGGCATGCTCCCTGTGGCTCTAAAGAAGACACTTCCTAGGAACACAATCTGTGAGAGCTTGCTAACCATGGTGTGCTGAAGGATGTGAGGAACTGGACTTGGGATGTCTGTGTGGATTCTTCACCCCCCACCTCTGTAACACCCACTTAGACTTGACAAGTGATTTTGTCATTCTGAGCCTCGGTTTCCCCAGAGGAACTGGGAGTGCAATTCACATGGGAGGATATCATGCTGAGATTTTTAGGAGCACATGTGTGCAAAACAAGGATGCCACCCATGGGGCTCACGCATGACTGACAGGCATCTCCCTTTCACTGAGATCCTAGAGGTTTGGTGAAGACCATCAGTTCAGCAAAATGGTAAGAGCCTGTGGGATGGAAGTCTTGGTTCTCTTGGCTTCTTGCCTTTGTCAAAGTTCTCCACTTCTGTTCCACACATGGTGGGATATGGGGCAAAACTGAAATAACCAGATAGAACATGGAAGCAATGTTCCCTTCTGCAGCAAGATGGTTGGGAGAAAATGGAATTGGGGTATTCTCAAATTCATAATGTGGGAACCCTTTGGACCAATGGAGGGGAAAGTTTGAAGCATGCATTGTCTTGTAATAACTTAGATCAGGGCTCAGCAAAGGCTAGGAGGGGCCTGGTCTTAAACATTTCAGACCATGTGGTCTCTGATGCAAATATTCAACTTTGCCATTGTGGATCCAAATCAGCCACCAATAACACAAGAATGAATGATGTGGCTGAGTTCTGATACAATTATATTCATGTGTCCTGAAATTTGATTTTCATATAACTTTCAGGGGCCACAAAATGTTAGTCACCTATTGATTATTTTTCAAGGAGGGGAGTCAAACTTTTAAAATAAGAAAACCATTAGCTCATGGGTCTTAAAGAGACAGGTAGAAGATTGGGTTTGGACTCTGTGCACTTTCAGACTGTACCTGGCTTGGATTATCTGTCCTTGACCACAGGCTAATGATTAAATAAGGTTAATACCATGGAAAAGATAAGAAAGAAAGGTCAGAGACCATGCTCTGGGATCACGACTTACCTAGAACTTTCTGCAGGTGGATGTCTGACCCTGCCACAGAGCAAACACAACAGTAAAGGGGATCACAAGAACTTACTGGTCGCCCAATACATAAAAAAACATTAAGTAGACTACATGTTCTACTAAGAATTTTGTCTAAAAGATGTACAAATCTTAACTAAAATGTACTTTATTGAAAAAAAACAATGCTAACATTCACGTGGGCTATTGGGTACCCGGCACTCACAAACTTGCTCAACCTGGGAGCACCACAAACCTCCAATTTGTAAAAAGTAGAAAATCTGACCTCAATAAAGCAAAGTGCACTAAAAGAAGTGATGCCTGTAAATACGGAGGGTTTCAGTGGGTGCTCAATTTGCACTGGACACCATGCCATGTACTTCACACACAGCATCTCGCAATGACTGAGGATGTGGCGTTAGGCAACATTAAGCTATTAAGGAACAAGGGAAGTGAGGCTTAGGAAATTTGGGTCACAGCCGAACCCAAGTGTCACAGCCCATCACCTCATTGAGGCGTCACCAGAGGCCACTTAGCAACAGACAGCATCAAACACACCCCTCCTCGAGGCTCTCATGAACATCCCCTCTGCCCTCTCTGCCCATGGAACTGCCAATCCTAGGGACCCAAGACAGAGGCAGGGCCTGAGCACCTTAGCCTGTCAGAGACGAGGCCCCTCACCTAACACAGGCTCGGTGTGGCTGAGGTCAGTCTTCCCCGCCACCTCCCGGCTCAGTGCACACGGGAAACTTCTGCTGCCACTCTTTGGAAAGGTCCCTGCACACATCATCACAACACTGGTGAAGACAAGAGGGGGATCTCCCATCCGAGAGGAGAAAAGAGGATTCAGGGAGAGAAGTGAGTGTGATATTGATCCTTGGAGGGTGAGATAGACTGGGACCTAACTCTCCCTTGTTCATGTCTCTGCAGCTTGAAGATAGTTCTTGATGTTTTCACAGAGACAGAAGTTACAGATTCATCAATTGCATCTCAAAATAAAATCCTGTTCTTTTTAGTCCTGATCATGCTGGTCAATAAAAACTTGATCACTTGTCAATGGATGACTCATTTTCCTAATAAAGGCTCCAGCCAAAGCCCAGTGGTGACCAATACAGGCTGTGGCATGTGGCAACAGACTGCATTCAAGCCAAGACCCTGATGAATCACCAACTCTATAGTCTTTGTAAAGTTAAACACTCAGAGAACATCAAGCTTCCCTCATCCAATTTAAAACTTTTTCATTTGAAATAGAAAATAGTTCCTTAAATTTGGGGGATGAAATTTACCTGAAAGTTTTTGCTTTGGCAGCACATAGACTAAAATTGGAACAACGCAGAGAAGATTAGCATGGCCCCTGCCCCAGGATGACAGGCAGACTCATGAAGTGTGCCATATTTAAATATATATATATATATGATTAACCATTTAAAAATTGAACAATTCAATGATGTAAGTATAATTGTGGTATTGTATAACTGTAACTTCTGTCGAGTTAGAAAACATTTTCATCAGCCAGAAGGAGACCCTGTTCCCCTTAAGTAGTCTCTGCCCATCATCTCCTCCCTCCAGCCCTGGGCAGCCACAGGCCTGCCTTGCACACTTGGGATATCTCCTCTAAATGGAATCATCCAATATGTGGCCTTTAGTGACTGGCATCTGGCATGTTTAACTCCATCTAATGGCTTTGAGATCCATCCGCATGACAGCCTGTATCAATACTTTGTTAGATTTTGTGACTGAGTAATATTTCCCTGTGTGTGCTTAGCACTTACGCTTTAAGTATGCATGTATTTAAATTACAATTAATTGGTGTGCTTTAACTGGTGGATATATGAAGACACAGAAGGTGCTAAAGAGGTAACACAGTGGTGGACCACACGCTTACAACATGGCCCTGGGTTCAATCCCCAGAACCACAGAGACTAATAAGAGAAACAGAACCTATCTACCCCCATTTATGCCCCTTCCAACAAAGGCAACCACTCTCTGGACTCTGACAGTATTGACTTCTGTATTCATACACATTGAATCCTGCCCCTCCATCTGGCTCCTCCTGCAGAGTGCTGTGTGGGAGGTCCACACCTTGGCTATGCAGATGCAGACCCTGCATCCTCGGTCATGTGGCCTTTCTGCTGTGTGAATGTGCCGTGGTGGTTCATTTGTGTTTCTCTTGATGTACACTTGGGTGGTCTTCATCAAGGGTCCATGATGAAGCATTGCTATGAACATTTTCTTGCAAGTCTTTGGTGAATGTGCACAGTGAGGAAGGAATTGCTGGGTCAGAGTACAAGTATATTCTGCTCTAATAGTTCCTGACAAACCCTCAGATCCATGGAACTGGGAGATGACTCAGGTTTACATTTGTCCCAGTGACCATGAGCCAACCAGAGTCACAATTCTGACTCTTCTCTGTTAGCTGAACTGTTGACAGGTCAAAACAGAGATTTATGCCTTCTTGTTACAGTGTGGCCCACAGGAGTTGGAAAGGACAAAGTGGGTAGTTTTTAATTCAGAAAATCAATTATTTAGCCTATTATCTCTCTCTTTTTGCTTAAGATAATCCTGTGAGTTTGACTCAAGAAATATTATTCTCAGTCTTCACACAACCTTCCAGATAAACAACCCTGCACATCAGGAAGCAGATGTCCTTGGATGGAGGAAGAGAGAGGCTACAGGAAACTGTTGTCACATGAAAACCCATTTTTTATTTAGGCTCAACACCTACCCAGTGAGAACCCACTAAGGTCAATGGGACCTACTAAATTTCATTAAATCCAAAGCCCTTCACTTTGGCCTCTTGCTACCTGATGCATGTGAGTGCTGTGATCTTAATGCTTGTGTCCATTCCTCCACATTCATGTCAAAATCCTGAATCCTGAGGTGATGGCATTATGAGAGGTTAGGGTTATCTTTAGGAGATGATTAGATCATAAACATGGGGTCTCTGTGAACGGGGTTGGTGCACTGATGAAGGAAACCCAGAAAGAACCCTCCTCTTTCCCACCACGTTGGGACACGTCTTGAAGGCACTGTCAGTGAGCTACAAAGCTGACCCTGTCCAGATGCCAAGTCTGCCTGGATCCTGGACTTCCCAGCCCCCAGGGCTGTTAAAAATGAGATCTTGCTGTTTATGAGCCACCATCTGGTATTTTGTTATATCAGCCAAGGGAGCTCAGATGGAGAACTGAAGCAAGACACAGCAACTTGCTGAAGCCTCCCACACTGTAGGTGGCAACAGGGGTGAGACGTGGATCTTCTCACACTTGCCAGACTGTTCTTTCAGCATCTATCCCTTCAGCAATTCCCACAATATATATAATTTCTTCCTCTCATTAAATTCAGGAGTTATTTTTTTAAACTTTTTTTCTTTGGGGAGGATATTTACCTTGATGTCTGAGTCCTGGCCAATTCAAACAGTTCCAAGGGTAAAAATCTGTTTTGATTGCAAAATTGGGCTTTGTTTGTTTTAGATGCACAGTCAGCATATTGATTAGCAAGAATGGTGTTGGGCGACTCTCTACCCTTCTTAAAAGTGAAATTCAGGGAATTTCTTTCACGAAGTTCTGCTGACCCACACAGAAGGGGCACAAATATTAAGATCATGGCTAAGGGCACACAGATTAGCTGCAAGCATTATTTCTGGGAATATTGGGTGGTGTTTTTTGAAAGCCTGGCATTTGAGCAGTGGACTGAGTGAGGAAGACCTGCCCTAGTTGTGGGTGTGCACCAGCTGGTCATCTAAGGCCACAGAAAACAACCCACAGAGGAAGGTGGCTTATTGCTCTCCCTCATGGAGCTGTGTACCCTTCTTCTGCTCTGGATGTCAGAACTCCAGGTTCTCTGGCCATTGAACAGTAAATTTGCATTGTCCCCTCCCCTGATTCTCTAGCCTCTGGCCTTGGGCTAAGAGCTGTGCCATTGGCTTCCATAGTTCTGAGGTGCCTGGACTTGGGCTGGGCTGCTCTGCAGCATCCCAGATCACCAGTTTGCAGAAGGTCTACTGTGGTAATTCTTCAGAAATATATGAGCAAATTCCCCTAATAAACCCACTCTCCTGTTTCTATCTGTGTATATATGTGTATGTGTGTGTGTTCCAATACTTCTGCCTCCCTTATTCCCTACCAAAATCACAATTTCACTGTGAAGAGTAACACAAAATTGTATATATAACTTCTTTTTTAAAAAGAGAGAGAGAGAGAAGAGAATTTTTTAATATTTATTTTTTAGTTTTTCGGCGGATACAACATCTTTGTTTTTATGTGGTGCTGAGGATCAAACCTGGGCCGCATGCATGCCAGGTGAGCATGCTACCACTTGAGCCACATCCCCAGCCCTATATATAACTTCTTGACAACAGGCTACTTTATCCAGATAAAACATCAAATGACATAAATAAATACAAACCAAATTTGTTATTTCTATAAAAATACAAGAATATTGAAACAGATAATTTTAGTTGGGAGAACACCAACTTGGCAAAGCCCTTCTAATATTTACATTTAACTAAGTTGAACTTTTGAAGTACAATTCAGAATCCAGAGTGTATGGTAACAATAGTCACAGGTCTGTATGGATTAGCAAAAATCAAAGGATAGCCTTATAGCCTTCCTTATACTATCAGGAAACAGTGTTAATGATCAGAAATGGACTTAGTCAAAGCAAACAGATATAGGACAGGTCCTCAAATAACAGTGTAGCCCTTCTATGTCAAATATAATGTATAAAAGCACTTATAGTTGATAAATTTACATAAGCTTTCATTTTATCAATTTTTACATAACACTTAGACAAGGCTTACACAGATACAGTCCAAGAGGCATACATGTACTTAGTCACATGTATTTACAGTGTCAACTATATTGTTATAACCTAAATAACAGTTGTTTAACAAGTTACCAAGTAATCATTTAAGTCTTTAAAACAGGTTCAAATCCTAAATCCTTTAAGACTTAGTTTTTCCAAGTAATGAAACCTAAAAGATACAAGAAAATTATCTTGGGAGGAGGAAGCAGCCAGGCGCCAGCCAAGCCAGACCGGAGGAGGAAGCCCAGCGCCAAGCCAGACCGGAGGAGGAAGCTCGGCCCTGCCCCATGTGCTAGTCCGGAGGAAGCCCATCAACCCTTAAAACACATCAAAGGGGGTGTGGCTACCAGCACGGTTCTGTGGGTGATCCAGGTACCCGGTTTCCAACTCCCCCACCCTTAGCTGCGATAACTCAAAATATTTCCCACAAGCTTTTGGGGGTTGTAGCTATCAATGCAAAACAACAACTGTACAGGCACCTGGTTTCTACCTCAGAGATTAGAGTAGGGAAGATACAGGTGGAAGCTCATTTCCTTTCACACTGGCTATACGCACCACCCTGAACACAGAGGCTCAAGCTAGGAATAGACAACGCCACCTACTGGAAGCAAGGAAAACAGTGTTCTGAGAGACTTTTTTTTCTCTCTCTCTTCTCTCTCTTCCACAACTTCAGCATATGTGAAACCAAGAACTGTGCATGAACAACCGAATTACCAAAGTAATATAATATAGAGGAATTGCATATAGCCCAGCTTCCCCCCATTTTTTTTCTTTATTTCTATCTTACTTTCCTTTTCCTTCTCTCTTATTTCTCTTTTCTTCCTTGTTATTATTTTTTCTTTTTTTTCATTCGTATTCTCTCTATCCCACTTTCAATCTCCTAACTTTTGCTATCTATACATAGGGTAACTATCTAAATACAGATAGGAGGTTGAGTCTATACATTCTTCCATAAATTACCAGTCTATTGGTTAGAGTTCTCCAAAGGTGCTAAGTTAGTTTAACCTCATACCCTCACTCCTTTCCCTCTAAGTATAACATCCTTCGTCTGAAATTAAGTTTTCTATATGCCACCAGATATGGTATGCCTTTTATGAAACAAATGAATATATTCTTAAGTAATAATTAAAACCAATATCTATAGACTTAGAATCTAACTATAAGAAAATTATCTTGATCTATAAGCAGATCAGTGTTTCAGACTTTGTTTCATATCAGTAACATTAAAGTTGAAATAATTTTGACTAGCTCTGCTAATTATAGCAATTTAATCAAAAACACAAATTTTTTGTAATTTTTTTAGTTGTTGATGGACCTCTATTTTATTCATTTATTTTTATGTAGTTTGAGAATTGAACCCAGTGCCTCACACATGTGAGGCAAGCGCTATACCACTGAGCCACAACCCCAGCCCACAAACACAACCTTTTTGAGATTTACCTTCCACAAAGCTTCTACAACTTACATAGACATTCTCAACTTCTTTACCTCCTTAGTTTTGTCCTCTTTCATTTTGGACATATGCCGCAGTTCAGCTGCAGCAAAATAACCGGGGGGTGACGAGCAACTTGTGTACATTGATACAGCAGGAGTGGG